TCCGTTTAAAATTCTGCGCGACTTCCGCCCAAGTCGAAGAGCTTGGAGCACGCTGCAGAGTGCCTCTGAAGTTATCCGACTTGCGGCTGCCGATTGATAGACTGATCACCTATCAATCTTTCTTCCCATCGCCGAGCACAATCCCAGATGTACCCTTTTCCCGCCGGCTTCGAATTGCGGACGGATTAACTGGCTTGGGCCCCGCCAGCTGGAACAACTCGCGTGGTTGTTCAGACGACTGGACCACCTGCGTCGTGATTGCAAGCGGCGTGAGTAAAGTTTTTTGCAACCAATAAGTTGTCTGCCTCTCCATTCACCAGCCCGCCCTAACATACGACCAATTTCGAACGCAACTCGAGTCGGCTCTGACCATCCGAGACACTCTCAAGTAGCTGTTGCACTGATGGATGCAGTGCATATCCTCACACATCCATCCCCCTGACATATTTCAGCTCTTGGGATCCCAGTACCAATCTTACCTCCTCATCATGGCCTAGTTGCTACAGATGCAGAGATTAGACTGAGATTGCAGCAGTCTTCCCTTCTCCCCACAGACTCCAGCAGTAATCCCCACACCTCTCAACCAGGGCATGATTTCAGACTAAATGAGATCTGGAACCATCTGCTGCTCATAGCCCCCTTTGTGCCAGGTTTCATCTGGTTGAGAGAAATGCTTGCAGATCCAAAATACTGCCACATGTCATTGAATTTTGCTTTTCAAGGTCTTTGTTCTCTGTTGCTGATTGCAGAGTGAATGAAGTGTGAAACCAGTTAGTTCCATCAAAGGCAGGCAGCTATATAGTAAAACAGCTATTTGCATCTAAGGTTCTGTGCTCCTAAATTTGGAGGCCTCTCCATTGCTCAGGCCTAGAGCTTAATCTGCCCCTGTGTCAGGGAAATCTTATCTCTCACTGCTTAATGACAAGCTACAGGTCTTTTTTCTATCTAGGGTATTTATTCTGGATCTTAAGCAACTTTATCACAAATGTCTGAGCTACTTAGCAGTTTGTCACTGAACTATATAGTTGTGAAGCTATAAAAGTTGGCTTGCTAAAATGTATCTTTCAGTGAGAGAGAGAGTTGTTACCTAGTAGGAGCTGAAGCTATTTTACCTTTCCAGTCAGTCTTCCTGCCTCTAAGATCTCTCTGTCTCAGTTACTCCAGTCTTAGTGGATTACTAGCAGTCATGGTTCAGGTCTTTCACTGTTACACGGGCTATATAGGACAGGGCATGCTCCTAACTCCTGCTGACCTCCCACTGTGCATAACCTCATTACTCAGGACTGTTCTGTAATGCATCAGAACTATTTTGAATGTGCTTCCCTCATTGAATGGCTGCAATGTACTAGGGATGATCTGAAATGGAATTTAATGCCATTTGGTTTAAATCTCCCCAACTCTTCTTATATTAATTTCAGGAGAAACTAACTCTTCGACAGCAGCTGAATGAGGCAAAACAGCAACTACTGCAACAGGCAGAGTATTGTACAGGAATGGGAGCAGCAGTATGTACTTTGTTATGGGGCGTCTCTAGCAGTGAAGAAGCAGTTAGAAACATTCTAGGAGGAGTAAGTTGAGTAGATATGTAAATCTTGGGCATAATGTCTGGTTAAGCATTCTGGATAAGGGGCATGCTCCAAACAACACCTGAACATGCAAGTATATTTCATAACTTGAACATAAGACAAAATCATCTTTTGGAACTAAATACACAGATACAGTGTTAATGCTGACTTTTTGTTTGTAAATAAAACACAAGCAGCTCTGCAAATAACAATGTAGCTTTGATACTGTTCTGGGCATGAGCAAGTTCTGTAATAGGTTTCATCTCCATTTTGTCTCCAGTGGGGCAAACAGCTAGATATGTACTGAGTGACAAGGGGGAAGGCTAGATTCTATTCCACCTAAAAGGTGTCTAGGAAGTTGAGGTCAGGATCTCCAGGTCAGTTCTGGGTGTGTTCCTGATTCTATGTTTCTTAAACCTTGATGCATTTCCTCCAGCTCTGTTACTAACAGTGATATGCAGGAAGCTAAAGCAGAACTCAGCCAAGATAGGTATAATAGCCCCAGACTAGGTTAGAAATCTCTGTGTTCAGCCAGTGATAAGGTTCACTCTGCGTCTAGGGATAATATCAATCGTGCCCAAGTCCTGCATCCCGAGCCATGCACTTTTCATCTGTGTGTATAGATGTTACAACATTGCTTGGCAACATTGGAAAGAGCATACTTGTTGGAAGTCCAAGAAATCTTCATTCATAGAAACATACAAAGAACATAAATTCCACAGCTGCATCTAATGTGTGGTCTGTTATTGCCAGAATTCCATTGATGAAGAAACTTAGAGGCAGTTGGCATGGCCCTACTCTTTATTTCCTCATTGGAGGGCCAAGGATGCTTATTGTATTGGCCTTGCACCAGTGATTACAGCTGGTCAAAAGAATCTGTGTTCAGCACACTGGGCATATATCCACAGACAGAATATCTATATATCTATAGATAGATAGGTACACACATGGACACACACAATGCTGGATCCATTGACATAAATATGGAAAATGCATCACACAGAACCATAGTTACTGCAGGGGAAGTAATCTCTTCTTTTTTGTCTACGTTTGCAGAGTAAAGCAGTAATTTTTTTTGCAATCACTGGACAAACTATGGAGAGTTTTGTGAAGTCTTTAGGTGAAGATACAAAACAGCAGGATCTGGATTCTGATGAAAATCAGTTTGTATTAGCTCTGGCAGGGATTGTAACAAGTAAGTCAGTTTTATATATCAGGACAGCATGTTGTATATACTGTAAGAAGCACATATTTCAGTAGATGTAGGAAAATAGATACCTAACTTTGATTCATTGCTCTTCAAAATGTTGATATGTTTTATGTGAATCATCATTTCCTTAAAGTTATAATTGTTTTTTTTAATTTGGTATTGTTATGAAAAATTTCACAAGACTTTAAGGGTTAAAGACTTAAGAGCAGTTGTACTTTGACAACGCCTGACATCTTTCAGTGATTCCAGAGCAATTGTACTCGATTTAGAAGTAAAAAGATGCTTATTCTGCTATTCCTGTAAGTTAACCTTGGTCTCTGAAAGTCAAGCTGTATATTTTTTGGCTTTTGCATCACTTTCACATCATCATTGGTAACCCTGACATATCTGAGGCATTTCAGTTGTAGAAGTGCCTGTCTCATTTCTACCTCAAGGTAAATGTTCAACATTTGGAAATTGCTTGAACCAGGAGGGAATCTGGTGTCACTTGTGGCTCTGCAGTGCTGAGAGTAAAAATTAACAAACCTTATTTTTATCATTAAAGTAAATAACTATAATTCTGAATTCACGATGGAAACAGAAGCTCCTCTTTTTGCCTCAGAATCACCCTTTGAAATCAGAATTAGACAGGGCTTTGACTTTTACTGTAACACCTGGAAAAACATGGGCTGATTATTTAAACTTAAGGTTTTTGACAAAGTCTCTCACAAGAAATTATCAAGGGAACTCAATATCTTAGGGTGAGAAGTAAGGTTGGAAGCTGAAGAGATGGCTATTTTATTTCTACTCTTGGCATGCAAAGTGGTTCAATTGGACACTTTTGAGATTTGTGCTCTCCTGAATGAGGGCATAACTTCCTGACGATGATACAAAATTATTTAAGATAGTCAAGAATAGAAAAGATTGCAAAGAACTACAGCAGGATCTAAAAATTAGAAGGATGGTCCTGATGATGGTAGATGAAATTCACTGTTGATAAATGCAATGTAATGCATATTAGAATGAACAGCATAAATTATATGTACATACCGGCAGGCTCTGAATTTGCAACTTTGTTTGGAGTAAGGTAGTAATCCAGGTGTCATTGTGGCTCTGTGAATGACTGTCTATTAAAAGAAATATAGAAAATACAGCAATATGCCTATTATAAGTTTTTAATGCCCCTATTTATACGTTTACGTAGCATTCGCTCTGAAAAGCCAAATTAAAAGAACACAAAAGCTTGCAGAGGTCTCAAGCACCCAAAATTTAGGGAATGCTAGAATTATGGTTGGCTATGCAACTTAAACACAGTAGCCCTGTGAGTATGCATTATTATACAGTCTTCCGTTACATTATGCATTCATTTTTTTTTCACAAAACCCTTTTTATTTTTTTTCCTTTGGTTCCCTTCTCTTTCTGTGTTCCCCTCTTAACCATGGCTGCTATTGTCAACAGCCCCATGCAGGCTTCACTCCTTTTCCCTCCATTCTTAATATTTTTACATTTGTTTTAAGATGCTTACTTCTCTTCGCTGCCTTTGGCTCACCTTTGGAAACTCTGATAGTCTCTCTGCACTCAATGTCATTGGTGCTGTAGAGCAGTGGTTCTCAACTCTGTTTGTACGAGGACCCGTTTGTAAACATCAGTGGCCAGTCCTGACATAGGAAATAGTTTAAGTAGAAAACAGCCAACTAGCCCTGCTGGTACCTTGGTCCCAACCCACTGTCCCCCACAGAACCCAGCCCCACAGTGTGTGGGCTAGAGGGTGGATGCAGGAATGACGCGTAGGGGGTGGATGTGGGTGCACATGCACCCCCTGTGTGTGGCAGTGCACCCCCTACAAAAAGGCAGCGGTGCCTGTGGATGGTTGGTGCTCACCACCCCCATCCCCTGCCGCTGACACTGCTGGCGGCATCTGCGGGGAGGCCGCGCTC